TTAATGACCGCGTCGTCCGCCAAATGGAGAGTTACATCACTCTTGAGATGAATTGGTCCGCACAGGTATTGTCCGGTCGGGAAATATACAGTTCCCCCGCCATTAGCCACAGCGGCGTCGATGGCTTTCTGGACGGCGGCACTACTCTTGTCCACTCCCTTCACATCTGCGCCAAAGTCCGTCACATCAAACGTGTCCTCACTTTTGCTGCAAATTACAAGTGTTTTGAGGACTAATATTAACAAGAATTTCATTTTAAGAAATTGTTGTGTTCTTTGAATTTATTTGATTTATTTATTTGATTTAAACTAAACAGTATCTCTACAACCTATGTTTTATAAAGCTCACAATTATCTTTTATTTAATACTATTATTATAATTGGATGGAAAGTATTAAATACTGTTAAATTGTCAGGAATAGTGGGAAATATTCAGTAATGTTCATATGATATCATTTTATTGTTTTCAATGAAAATCTTTAAGTTTAAAAGAACCTGGTTAACCTTTGTGAAATAAGGCTTGAATCCAGTTAACCAATTCTTCGATCATTTAAGTGTTGAAGTTATAAATAGATTACCACAGATTGACATTAGATAACCCTTTATAATAGATAAACACATGTTATTATTTGTTTTCCTATATTGATGTGCTCTCATTTTAATAATGAATATATTTATACTGTACCATTAATCATGGTAAATAAAACTAATTATATTTGAACAAAATCTAGTTATAATATTTGAAAATTTTTGCAAAATGATACAATTACTGAAGATGTTTTATAGAGTACGATCAAGGTAAATCTAATATCAGGTTCAGGAGTACTAGATTTTTAAATTTCAAGTGCACACAAACTCATAATTAGCAACATTTAATTTTGATTTATTGCTTGATAATTTGGTAATCTAGGGTCAAGTAATTTAATAAGTGAACAATATTAATATTTAATATCATAAATACTAAAATATTAGTAATATACAGTATTACCGTACTTGAGAACCTATATTACATAATATAATATAACGTATATAATGTATATAATACAACAAAACTAGCAAGCACATTGAAATCAAATTAACATGGAATTATTAATTTAATAAATTATTATAGAATATGTTTTATAATAAATTGTCATTATTATAATTACATATTATTTCTATTACATCTAGAAATTGTACTAAAAAACTACATTGTATTATAACTAGAAAACATTTTCCGACCATTACTAACAAATAAGCTAGTACAGTACAATTATTTTTATAAGCATGATAAATTATCATGCCATGATTCTATGAATGCAGTAAAAACATGAATAGTATTAAATGTATCATTAATAAAGTTATGCAGTTTTTTGTTACGTTTAAAATGTATTCAAATGTTTTGCAAATCCTAACTTGTTATTTGATCCAAGTGACCAAGGCTAAACAAAAATGAACTAATATCGGCAATGTATGTATCATTTCATACGTGCACTTAATTATATTGTTAATGTGAGTACAAATGTAGCCAACGTTTTGTAGACGCTATGAGTGCGCATTCAATACCAAACGTCTACACGATATGAATGAAAACAAAACCCGTTTTAAAAGCGAGTGTTTCAGTGAAACGACTCTTTGCTCGCATTTATTGAACCAATCATTTGTTGGATCCGTTTGAAGACATCGAAGAATGCGTGACTGATATCACGTCGTAAGAGATGAGCGACAATAGCGGTGCCAACGGTGGCGCCCAACCGGTGATGGCCGCGAATCCACCACCGGTTCCGCCATTTGTGGGTCAATACCATCACCCACGCGACCAACCCTTACCACCGATTGTCACGTTTGACATCAACACGAATCAGTCGAAGATCGAGAAGAGTTTGTGTAACTTCTTTAAGTGCACCAAATCGTTGGGTCCGGCGGATGAGTCCTCCGACGAGGAATCGGACACTCAATCGGCGGTCAAGTGTTTCGCCACAAGAAATACTGCCCTTCAGTTTGATTGCCACCTGAAGAGCCGACACCCGGAGGTAGAGCTGAAGTGCGTGTATTGTCTGCAACAGAACCAACCAATCAAGTCCTATTCGCACCGTTATCTCATCAAACATATGCTCAACAGACATGCCTTCAGACGCTACCAGTGCTCCGTTTGTCTCTACAGAGCCATCACTGAAGACCACCTCTACGTCCATCAGAGGACACATCACTCGGTGTCGTCTGTGAAGAATCGGTTGAAGATATTCTTGTGTCACATGACAGACATAACGGGTCCCACGGATCACAACCAGAATCAGAATATGTGGCGAAGTGTTCACTACTATTACTCCAAACACAGAGCCATTCGCTTGAATAGTGAGGGAAACAATGAGACGTTATATCAGTGTCTTTACTGTGAGTTTATGGCGGAACAGCTCCAGAAAGTGGTCGAGCATTGCGTCCAAAGACATCCCGATTACCCGATTCTCTATTACATTCCCGAACCGATGGTGTCGTCGTCGACCGCTTCTGAATCAGTCAATCCTATCATTCGCTTCGACAACCCTTT